AAATGTTGTGTCTCTTTTGTTCTCTTTTCAGCATGGAATAAACCTTTACTTGTTACTTTGCAGCCTACGCATGCTGATGCAGCTCCCTACTTGAAGTATTGTATCTGTTAATTAGTCCACCACCAGTACATCAGCATGCTAGAGCATTACTCGGTTTCAAACCCCGAAAACACTGAATGAATAATGCCCCGTTCTCACCATCTTTCCGGACCAATCACAGTCGCAGAAAGGCTGCCTCGCCAGCCAATGAGGGCGGCCACATTTCCTCCGGGCTCCGACTCCGCCCCCGTCCCTGGGTATTAATGCTAGAGAATGAGTCAAACGTGTACGAGGACCTGTGGGAAGATACAGTGTCTCTGTGCAGCGCATAAGTCTTCACCTCAAGGTTTGTCCCCGACAGCTGTCTTTGCACTCATCATGGTTGACGCCTTCTGTTCCACCTGGAAACTTGTAGACAGCCAGAACTTCGATGAGTACATGAAAGCTCTTGGTAAGTTTTGCGTATTTCACAGTATTTTATCTATTTATGACGTAACACAGGAATATATGCATATGTTTAAGCTTGCAATGTGCTGGTGTTCCTTATCATCTAATAGTATATACGAGTTTCGAATATGTCACATATCTACAATACCATTAATCGTGCAGTCAGGAGTCAAAGATCTATTGCGACATTATATATATTTTTCAGATGCTATCATTATAATTTGTATAAGATCTTTTTTTTTTCCAATTCCTCTTACAGGTGTTGGTTTTGCAACCAGGCAAGTGGGCAATGTAACCAAACCTACTATCATCATCAGCAAGGAGGGAGACAAACTTGTTATAAAAACGCAAAGTACTTTCAAAAATACAGAAATATCATTTAAACTTGGAGAGGAGTTTGATGAAACTACAGCAGACGATAGGAACTGCAAAGTAAGTGGCTTATTTGGATTCTAAAACGTGGCTTAGACGTATAATATATCACAACGAATGAAATATTTAATGCTTAGTTCATCTACACAGACTGCCCGTGTATAACACTATTCAGTGTGACTATGCACGCACTTTTATAGAAATGGAAAAAATGTAATAGTCTAATTATTTTTACTACATGGGAACCGAGGCATTGACCTTAAAGCTTATCATGCCCCCATGAAGCTTATTTCTAAATGCTAAGATCTTCGTGCACTATAAAAAAGGGAGACAGACCGATCACATCTGTACACTTGCATGTACATTTCAAAATCTGAAGCAACTGCGGAGCGTTTCCTGTTACAACAAGTCCGTGTTTAAACGGCAAGTACTGTAAAGTTTGATTTGGTTTTGGTAAGATAATTTGAGCTGTTTATGCGGTTACTGTAGAGGGTGTATATACTGTACAGTACGTGCATACTGTCCTATAGTAGCTTAATTGCAAACCAATAACCTAACCGCGGGAACAAAGTTATCTGATAAAAGAGAAAACCGTTAAATACAATACCACCTTATGAGTTCTAATGTGTTTTTTGATGTACTGTATGAGCCCTTTTGTATTGAAGCCCTTTCACATTTCCTGCCAAAAACAGAGCACCAGAACAGGGCGCAGCCTCATTTGCAAGAAGCAACTCAAGACAGAAAAAAAAACTTTTATAACGCACACCACGATACAGTGCTGTATACTGTAGATTGCAGAATCAATGAATAAGATTTCTTCGCTTCTAAAAAGGCATGGTCGACGTGTGTCGGGATTGTTCATTTAGAAGTGTGCCCTGCTGTACTGTTGAAGACATTCAGACGCCGCTGCAGTGACAGTGTGTAACTGCTCCTTGTCGGTATTGCAGTCTACTGTGAGCCTGGACGGAGACAAGATAGTGCATGTGCAGAAATGGGACGGCAAAGAGACCAAGTTCGTCCGGGAGATCAAGGACGGCAAGATGATCATGGTATTCTTTCCGTTAGTTTTTTTTTAATTAGGATAAAAGCCGAGGCGAAAATTCTATAAATATTCTAGTGACGGTAATGAAAGCAATCATTCTTACTGATTATTAATTTCCTAGTTTTTTTAAGTTATCAAGAGACCGGTAAAGTTTTACTCCATGCTAGAAGATAAAGAAAAGAGACGCAGTGCTTCGACTTCACGTTGTTTCCTCTCAGCATGGAATAAACCCGCACCTGTTCCTTAGCATTCTTCGTGTGTGGATGCAGCTACGTACTCGAACTTCTTCTTTAGTTATGAAAGTTAGTGATTTTAACCGTGTGAATCTTAATATCCCCCTGCATAAGAACGGTATCCTTGCTTACGGTATACTGTACAACTTTATGGTTGAGGTCATTCCACATAGTGTTACTTGCTTGGTGTTACTGAGAGTTACTGAGGTACTGATTTTTTTTGTTAATTTTGTTTCTGTTATAAAGGTGATACCCATGTAGGGCACAAGGGGATTTTTTTGGGGGGGGGATAGTTTTGAGCACTTTTTTTAAATTAAGTGAGTTGGCGATATTACCCAGGCTTGTCAATGACTGTGAATCGTAATATTCCCCTGCACAAGCAAGCTAGCGAATGCATAGGCACAATAGAGTACAAGTTAAAATAACTTTACAGCCAAAGCGTACATACTGTACATGTCTCAACTGGTGTTTGTTAAAGTGTAAATATAAATATTTTAAGAAACACAGATATTTATTAAATTAATCAATAAGCTAACTTTGCCTTTCTGGGTTGCAGACTCTTAATTTTGGTGATGTCCAGGCTGTGCGCACGTACGAAAAGGCCTAAGTTCTGCATGGAGTGCTTCCTCTTCATGGACCCATCTCAGTCCTGTTTACTGGACTACAGTCAATAAAGCATTTTTGTTTACGGTTTGCATAGATTTGCACTTCACCTGCCCAAATGTTTTATAATATGACTTGGGAAATGTTTTTATAAGCAACTTTTATATAAAAATCTGTTAAGCACTTGTTTTGTTTCCAATGACCTTAAATGGTTTTATACTAAATCAACATTTGTGAACTTGTGCAAAACAGATTGAAATAAATTACAGCTCCTGACTCTGCAGTGTCTGGTATCCCTTTTTCATTTTTACCTTGCATTGCTGTTCTGAGCTTTAAAGAACAGCAGCGCCAAGATCATTTCAGTTCAAGTACAAATCAACGATTAGAACACAGAAGTCACCCAGCTGCTAGATTTAGTTTCAAAATTGGACTAAACTAACAATTTAATGTTACGTTAAAAAATAACATTGGGGTCTATCATCAATGGTCAGCAACTCTTTCTGAGCATTATGTAGGACAGAAAGTATTTCCAGATGCATCATGGTCAAGATATTAAAGTGAAATTCACTGATGTGGGAATTCAAGCATACAGTTTGGAGGTGCAGTAGCGCCAGGCACTTTGTTTTTGTGTTTTGCCACTTATGCCTGTATCTGTAGGCTGGGAAAAGCGGAATGAGAGCACAGCACTCTCCTCAGGCTGGAGGCTGACCTGTGGAAGGGGTGACCCCAGCAGTGCTCATACCCTTTTGGACAGCTGGTGGGTTGGGGGCAAAAATGTACAACAGCAGTGTTCACATTGAGGACTGGATCGCAGACGTTTTCAGTTTTGAGTCCAGATCCCTAATCACTGCTGCTGTATGTGGCTGTTATGAAATCACAGATGTTATTTGACTGAATACTTGTGATCTGCGCTCCCCAAACTATTCCATTTAAGTTTGACTCCCTACAATATTTTGCTGACAATTCTTAATGCACAGCTTGAAAGGAGCTATGACTAACATAAAGATAAGAAGGATAACGGTTACAGATAAGGCTGATAAAATCCCAGTACTGTAGCTTTTTAAAGAATAATAAGCATGCCAGAGTTTTTCAGAAACAACCCCCCTCCCCCCAAAAAAATAATAATCTGGTTTTAGCAGAATAATTTGTCTTTAACCGAAAGACTTCATTCTTTCACTCATTGATGAATGGCTTTATTTAGATCGTGGGTTTGCTATTTAAATTTGATGTTAAATGAGTTGTAAATCAGACACTGCTTGTGTTAGGTGTCTCACTACTGGGCTCAATTACTATGAGAAATAAAAAGGCCTAACAGAAAGCATAGAGACTGCACGATTTCTACCCACGGGAACGTTTCAAGTACAAGTACAACCGTCACATTTAGATCTGGAGAAGGAAGCTCCTGTGAATCAAGCAAAGCACAGATTTGGGCACTTTAGGGTTAAAATGTTATTTCTTCGTTTCAGGTACATCTTCAAAATACAGAAAGAAGTAATGGATGCTCACGATAATACAAAACTCAATAACGAACTCTACCGTCTGCACAGGATTTGTGCAACAAATGTGAGACTTGACCTATTAAGAAACCAATGTACCACACGTAGTGTATGAAGGTTTTAACAAATATGTGGTCAAGACTGTTGAATTTTCATGAAAATGTCAGACATATATTTCGTGTTGTAGCGGTGAATATGATGAACTTTCGATTTATGTTCAGAATAACGGAAAAAAAAATGTGGAAATGCATTTTGCAGCATTCAATGACAGTGCACCAGCCTATTTCACAAGCACGGAGTCGTTTCTCAACACCAGTCTAGGACCGCAGATCGCAGGCTCAGGCGTCACATGACCGAAGAGGCTTCCTGTTTGAGTCATATGAGACGGGTATAGAGACCTTTACACAAGTAAATATCATTTAAGTCACAGGGGCAATGAAAATGGTACAACGTGAGGTAATTTACTGTCTCTGCCTTTTCGGCCTGGGGGTCAGCCTGCCGGTTTCAGCGGCTCCACTGAGTAGTCGCCCACAGATCCCTGTCGAACTCATGGGTGAGTGGAGAACAAAAACAGCAGGAGCTTCTCATTAGACATACCTGTAACAGAGGGGCATTTTAGTTCATTATGCAGCAATGGGGTATATAAGCGAAAGGTTTTAAATGTCAAAGAAAGATCACTTTCTACAGAGGGGCACCGGATAGCCGCAGTAATAGGATTTTGTAGGCTGTCCTGTACAGAACGTGCCTGATAATATGAAGACCTGTAAAGCATTCAAATAAAAGTGAATACGTGTATTAAACATTAATAAACTATTCTATTATCAGAATTAAACAATTATCAATGACAGTTATATACTACGTTTGAATATATATATACACTGTATATTGTGTAGGATGTGTTATATTAATTGTGTCACTGCTACTACAGTAGTTGTGAAATCAGCGATTCAGCATATATCTCACTTATGGTGTATTAGTCAGATGTGATATAAACTACGTCTTCACTTCCCTTTTTTAATTTTGCTAAACCAGCGAAACATTATTTTTTAGAAAACATACATACTGTCTGCATACACAGTGGTGTGCACAGTATGTAGTCATTATACAGTACATTGTGAACACTTGTCTAATTCTAGGTTGTAATGCAGGTATAGAATAAATGACTTTTACTGTAAATCACTTGTCTGGCTAGATATCTGTAACCAAAATTATTCTGATTGTGCTGTCACCACTACAGTCCAGTAATAATACAAGATCATGGCATGAGAAAGCTTGAAATTTCCCTTAACTTACAAATTAGAGTTACTAAACAGCGGGAAAAAAAAGACTAGTTTTCTTGCTGGAAGTACACGTGCTTGTTCAAAAGTACCTGTGCTCTTTGTAATTAAATCTCTTGGTAAAACTGAAAGTAATATTTGTAGAGCCTAGCTCCTTACTTCACAAAAAGGGAAATACAGATCTAAAGAAAAAAAAAAACTTTAGTTCCTATGAATTGTGTAAGTGGGGAATTTCTTGTGTTTGATTATTGTTTTCTACTTTTGAGTTTTGTACAGATAGTATTGTCACCAATCTGTATTCTCCAGATGGTCATCTATGACTCTCTGAGCACGTCGCTGCAGATGCAGTGTGCTCCAGTTGACAGTAAAATTTGGTGTTGATCCTGCTCGAATGCACTGTGACATCCTTTCAATAGGTGGGTTTTGGCACGTGTCAGACTTGCATTTGGATCCGACCTACCACCTCACTGACGACCACACCAAAGTCTGTTTGTCATCTAAGGGTTTCCCAGCCAAGAACCCTGGGGAGTTTGGGGATGTCATGTGTGACTCACCTTACCAGCTCATTCAGTCAGCCTTTCAGTTCATGAAACAAGTGGACCAGCACCCAGATTTCATGATTTGGACAGGGTACGTATTTTCTCGCAGTCTGTTTAACATCAATAAGAAGCCTTGCATATTGTCCTGCTTTCAAATGCATCATATACTGTATAATGGCAGCCATAATCATAGAATTGAAACATAGAGCAAAACGGTTAATGAACATGTGCTCAGTCATCTAAAAAACATGGTGGATGTTATACTGATGTTCAGAGAATTTTAACTTTGTAAAATGCTATAATATAGATTATTAATATTCCAGGAATATAAAACAGGGGTCACCAATCCTGTGTCTGAAAGCACCAGCAGCAAAAGAGCTGGGAAAACTGGTGAAATGATCCAGACAATAAGGAGCTGATTAAAGCTCAACTGAAATGTAAATCTCTAAACATAGCAGGCCTCTGGGACCAGGGCAGGGGAACCCTGATATAAAGGGGTATAAAATAAATATCAGGCTTATAAAAGCTGAGAAGAATCTGTACTGAGAAGAATATGGATTGTGCAAAGTTCATGTGAGTCCTTAAGGAAATCCTTCTTGAGTCAGGAAAACATGGTCTAAAATTCCCATTTCAGCAGGACAATAAGTTAGATCGATTTTGCCGGGACAAATGGACACATCTGCAACCATCCTACTGTGGAAAGCTTGAAGAGGCCTGTCCAAAAATCCTGACAACAGCAATAGCTGCTAATATGACGTCCAACGGATATTGACTTCAGATAGTGGCTGAATATTAATGTATTCATTGAATTTCGCTTTGTAAATTGCTGACAATCAGCCTTCTTCACATAAAACAGTGTTAAGTTTGATCATTTTGGTTTTGAATAAAAAATAAAAATAAAAATATACACGTTATTTGTAATTCATCAGAAAGTGCTGTCATTGGCAAGAGGTGAGTACACTTACAGGGGACTGGAGCAAGCGTCCTGCATTAGATTGTATATTGTACATCCATCCACTTCATCCCATACAGGGTGGCATTGTGCTGGAGTCTGTCTGGACAAGCAGCAGGCACAGGGCAGGATACACCCTGGATGGGACACACAGGCACACACAGACAGAAGACAACTAACCTACCAGCATGTCTTTGGACTGTGGGAGGAAACCCACCCCACCAGGGAGAACATACAGACTCCACGCAGATAGGTCCCCAGGGCCCCAGCGATGAGAGGCAGCAGTTATAACCACTGTGCTACCATGCTTCCCAATTGCATATTATAAATTGTACTTTCATAGTAAATCCTTAACAGGTTTGCTATATTTCATGGTTAATATTCAAAGCTTGGGCACCTTTTATTTAAAAGAAAAATATTTCACCCTTGTTAGTTGGAATGGATTGGGCAATTAATGATGCAGTCAAATGATTTATGACTATAATACATAAATAAGCCTGGTGTCTACAATCTATCATTTGTGCTAGTAACTCCATTTTTGTGGAAATGCCAAACCAGACCTCCTGTGGGAAATGTCATGTAGCAACATTTATCACCAGTGAGGTATGTGAGTGCATTCTGCAACAGTGAAGACGAAAGGGTGTGCATCATCTCAAGAAACACTGAACATTTTCCGTCTCAGTTCATCTTGAGGACTATGGAAAAGAGGAGAGTAGTTACTATTGTTATTACGAGGAGTTGAGACCTGTTACTAGAGTGAGCCGCTGTGGCTTAATAAGGTTCAAACACAGTGTCCAGCACCTGTTTAACCGTGTTAAGCTGCGAGTGCATGACTTCTGTTTATTTGACAGAATTGCACAGCCTGAATGTCTAGCTGTTGCATTCCGACTAACACATGAACAATCCCGGATAAGTAGATTCTGAAGCATCTTAAAAGCCGGTTTGTCCATCATTCTTTTCAATTTAGGACATAGTTAAACATCTGCTAACTAACTGTACTTTGCGTTCCAGGGACAGTCCTCCACACGTTCTGGTAAAAGAGCTTTCCACAGAAACTGTGATAGAGGTTATCCGCAACATGACTCATACCATTCAGGAATTCTTCCCAAGCCTCCCAGTCTATCCTGCACTTGGGAACCATGACTACTGGCCGCAGGTATTTCAAGCTATGACCTGCCCTAATGCTCGGATGAAGCTCTTATCTTCTGTAGTACACTAGAGGAATACTTTAAAATATAGCATGTCTGAGCATTAAAGCTGCTGTAAGTGTTTTTTTGTCCATGGGTCCATGAGTGAAATTGCATTTAGATATTACAGTTTTTATTGCATGGCTTTCTATTTTAATAATTCGTGACTTGTATCTAATATCTCTTAGTAAGCAATTATTTAATAACCTTAATTACATCTTTTTGCCCCTGGGCATATATTTCATTATTCTTCAGTACCTTTCATAGTGTGCTTTTATCTTCCTGGGTAAAGAGCTGTTTGAGACTGGTGTATGGCTCTCTGGGAATGGTGTACTAATGAGAGAAGAGTAGATATTGCAACGTTTTATCTTTTTAATGTTTTAAATCATGCCTTTTGAAAGCATTGTTTCGTAAGGTGATGTTTTGTATTTGTCACACAAAAAGAAAAAAAACAGAGAAAGATAATTAGATCCTTTATTCACCACTGTAAATGTGTGTTTCCAGCACCTATCATTTCAAATGGTTGGGTTGGATCCTAATGAATGCGACAGAGGGATGGATATGTACTGCAGGGAGTATTTGGTGTGACTCACCTAGCTGAGGACCTGCAGCCCCGCCGTGAGGACAGGCTGCCCAGACCCCCTCCCCTTGTGCGGAATGAGCCAGGGAGCTGCAGGAAGGGTGTGGATGGGGAGATGGTGTGTGTGTGTGAGAGAGATGTGTGACAGGGAGTCTTGCCGGTGAGACTTATATACGTAGGAGAGCTGAAGGGTGTGAGTTAAGGGCCGAGCTTTCCTCCTGAACTTCTGTTCTAAGCTCCTTATGAGGAAGAGAAAATATCACACTGCTTATTATTAAGGTAAAAACGTGATGGCACATGTGAGCATATACTGTTAGCATCATGCTACTGGAAACTGATCATTTTCATCAAGAAAACCCATTATAAACCCATTATAACATGCCGCGACAGTTTAAATTGGATGTGAAGGTGTTGGCTGTAGTGGTGGTCTGTCTCTGTGTTCCATTGTTCAGGACCAGCTCCCAGTTTCCACTAATAAGATTTACCAGGCTGTGTCTGACCTCTGGGAGCCATGGCTGCAACCTGAAGCCCTCGAGACACTGAGAAAAGGTAACGAGTCCAGTAAAAGGCTTCATTAGCTACACTGATGCTGTTTTTCAGCCTTCCAGCACCAAGACTCTTCTAAAATCACTTATAAATAATCACCTTATTTACCTTATTTATCTCAATTAACCATTTAACTACTGCACCTGTATGGTTGCGTACAGTGTGTAGATAAACAGAGTTTGCTTCAGTTGAAAAGATTAAAAACAGTGAGCGCAGTAACATAATTAAGATGCAGTAGGTTACATAAAAGCAGAATGAAGAGAAATAACAATAGGCAGCTCACAAGGAGCACGATACCTACAGTACAGTATATTTAAACTTCGGTGAAGGAAAGTGTCATCCAGGGTGTTAAGTTTTGTTGTTCAATTGAATCACTCTTTTCAGATTGTTTTCTTTCAGATTGATCCTGCTGCTAAGTGTGTTGTTACTTTTTGCAGCAACATTACTGTAGGCTTTAACACAGTCTGTTTATGGTGCTGTCTGTGCTATGCAGCCGTTGTGCGGATGCTCGGTATGCATTTATGATTCCTCAGTTTTACTGTATATTTCATGGACTCTTAACTTAATGACTCTCAGATCACTGTGTTCGATCAACCAGACTCTTGTCATGCATCCCAGTCTGAGAGAGTGGAGTTTCCAGACTTGTATAGTACATCCTTCAGCAATGTTTTCATGGTATTGAGTGAAATCTCCACACAGCCTGAGTATAAACCCATGCTTGGTATGCTGTTCTGCAGCAGTGTTTGTGCTGTGTACATTGTGTTGTGCATGGCTCAGAAGGATTATGATTATGGGTAGAGTGCAGCCTCGCTATTTGAATCTCTCAGATGTTCTTTAAAACATATTTTCCAGCATGGACAATGTTTAAAACTTTTTTTCATGGCTGGTACTGACTTGGTTTTGCACAATATTTGCCTATATATTACTACTCTAGAGTTACAATGACAAATTAAATTATTTGTTCGAATATACTGTAGCTTGATTGGCCACAAGCTTAATTGAAGGATTGTCATCGTAAGCTTTGATCATATATCTGGCAGAGAAAAAAAAAGCTTTCATTTATCTTGATTTAAGAAGTAATAGATTTAAGAAGTGATTTAAGAACAACCTCAGTTCTCTTGATTTGTATTTTTTTATTTTCAGGTGGTTTCTATTCACAAAAAGTGATGCAGAATTTGCGGTTGATCAGCCTTAACACCAACCTGTACTACAGCCCCAACAATGTTACCATCAACATAACTGATCCAGCGGGGCAGTTTGAGTGGCTGGAACAAACATTGCAACAGTCTCTGCAAAACAATGAAAAGGTAAAATAACAAACGAGACAGACATATTTTAACTCGGCAAAAGGGCGTTTTTTCAGTAAATGTCTGAAAAAATGTCAGCAGAAAGTCTGAGTGGATGAGATGTATTTGAGGTGTTTAGATCTTTAGAGCACTGGTGGAGATACACAGCCTCCCCCCAGCAAACAGAACCTGTTAATGCACGGCTTTCTTATCGAATCCCGGTCTTCTCAGCTTTGCGAAAGCCTTGCTCATCCAAGCGTTGGGCTGCGGAGACTTTGAAAAAACACACAGCTTCTCCACTAACTCATGATGCCAGCTTGCCTCCCTCACACTTCTCTTCCACTTTTGTGCTGTAATAATTCAAACACAACATATTTTATTACTTTCATGTGCTGAATTATAACTCACATGACTATATTTGTCATTTTAAAGGGGAAAATCTATAAGTAACGTTTGCCATTGATGGGTTTAACTCAGACCCTGGGAACCTATTTCCCTTGTACTCAACTCCCAAGTACTCAACAGCTGCAGATTTGCAAAGCACGTTGGTTTTCTGGAGTGTCACCCCTGCAGCTGATGAGGCAAGGCTGTATTTGGAAATGTGGGGGTCACACCAAGCCTCTCTGCGTAGACGTTTGTCATGCTAACTAATTTATGGATGGCAAAACGTGTGCCTTCCAGTCTTCTCCATTGCAGTTCTTTGTTGCAGCCATGTCCTTAATATATTATATATTGATCCGGCTAATTATCAATTGAAGAGCTGGTTGGAGCAGAAATCTTGAAAGACACACATTGGTAGGGCCACAGGTTATACGGTGTTCTAAAAACAGAATTAAAGAAAATATTAGGGATTTTATTTTACAAATTTCTGTAATAGTAATAGAACACAGCCTTACCAATGTGTGTAACCTCAACTCTGCAAGGTATGATGTAAGTTTCTCTCAGGTAAAGCTCCTTTTTTTGCCTTTTCTGATAATGATGCAGCTGATTGTAGTGAAATTGTTTGTACTGTGCCTTGGCTTTTCGCATGACATAATTCCTTCTTGGGGTTCTGATACAATATGAGAAGGCTTGAGAGTGGAGTGGAGATTACAATGTGAGTAATGAATAACAATGTGAGCCATAATGAATAACATTAGCACCCGAAAAAAAGGCTCCACAGCCGAAATGTTGTTTACATTGTGTTTATGTTTCTTTTAATCTCTTTACAGCATGGAATAAATCTTTACTTGCTCCTTTGCAACATTAGCACTATACATGGAAGTACAATCAAGTTTTATTTTAAGGCATTTGATGTGATAGAGAAGAGTATAAAAAGGATAAATTATTATGATGTTTCTATAAATAATACAAATATAGTTTATGAGCTCTGCATTGTTCCAGAAAACATATCCCTCTATTTCTTTGGAAATAGAAGATCCACAATTTGCGTGTACTTTCTTTGGAAGGTGTACATCATTGCACATGTTCCTGTGGGTTATCTTCCCTATGCAAGAGATACCACTGCGATCAGAGAGCACTTCAACGAAAGACTTGTGAAAATATTTCGCAATTACAGTGCTGTTATTGCTGGTCACTTCTATGGTCACACTCACAGAGACAGCATAATGGTTCTCTTGGATGATGAAGGTACATTAATTCATTGTGTCTGATATTGTCACTGCATTTACTGTATGTGTGTGTAGATACTGTGGGTGGTCTCAGGAAAACATGCACAGAAATGAAGGTGGGATTCTGCTATAGCTCTGAATTCTTTCTTATGTTTTTTTTTTGCTTCAACGTTAACTTGCTCATATCTTTTTAGTTTTACATTTCCTTTATTTTACCCTTTTACTTAAGCATTTTACTTTATTCCAAGGTATAGAATATGTGAATATTATAGATTTATAAAGTACAAAAATTCAGGTATATTTACCCATTCATATAAAAAATTTAACTCATAATTAAATATTGATGACTGTATTTGGGACAGAGAGTAGAAAGTTCCTATGCCACTAATCAGTAAATGAAACTACTGTATTCCAAATTTATGCATTAAACCCTGGTGTCTAAATCATTAATTGGTTCTGCTGGAACATTGGTCAAATGCAAAATAGAAAACCACAAAACTAATATTTTTTCTTTGTCATACATTCCTATTGTCTTAGAATATGTTCTTTTATTTTTAGTATTACTATCCATTGATTTCTTGTAGAAATTTTAAGGAAACATCTCTCATCTCTAATCAGGAAGACCTGAAGTATTCTATATCAGTCAGGTTTACTGGTTTACATGTTTGCCTTATATATGACTTTACACCCCTGCTATGTGTCTAGTTAGATTTATACTTTGGTCTGAAGAAGTTCGATTTGGGAGCATCTTCAAGCTGCACAGGAACGAATAGAGGTTAATTCCACTCTGATCTTGCCCTTTCTCTGAAGAAGGCTCCGTAGCAGAAACATTGCATTTATCTTTCTTTTTACTTTTCAGCATGGAATTAACCTCTGTTCTATTAGACTTTAGTTTCACAATGTTTGCAACAAGTATGTTTTGTTCTTTAGTTAATCAAAAACACTTAAGTTTTAAAGTACATATCCACAACTATAATATTGAATATGTAAATGGTTAGTGCTGTTGTATACAGCATATTTGACCACATTAACGGTAGTTAACAGTGTAAATGGTGTCTTTAATGCATCTTTTATTCTCCTGTTGCTTCATCCTATTTTTTGCTTTGAAGGCAATCCTGTTAACTCACTGTTTGTGACACCAGCTGTAACCCCCATCAAAAGTATTCTTGAAGCTGACACAAACAATCCAGGCGTTCGCTTATATCAGTACAACTCTCAGGATTACAGCTTGCTGGTAAGAAAAAGCACATCACTTTCTGCTAGATGCATCTGCTGAAAAAGTCACCCAGACTATCTTAATATTCAAAGACTGGTAACTGATAAATGCTTACTGAGTATACAGTCCCAGTACTCAGAAATGTGCCTGTTTGAGCAGACGTTGTCTTAAAAGGGTTTTAAAAGGGTTTTAAAAGGGTTTGTAATGACCATATTGGGTTTGTAATGACCATACTGTAATCATTACAAAGTACTGATCTAGACTTGGCAAGGTATTGGTTGTGGGCCTTTTTAAAGGGATTGCTGTTTTGTTAACTTGATTTAATTTAATTATTGGCATGCACATGTTGAAATGCTAGGGTACAGAACTCTGTTATCCAGACTACAGTAATCTTGCTGGATGATTGAAAAAATCTGTAAATGGACAGAACACGAATCAAATGCAGTACTCTCTAATGTTTTACCAAAGAGCAAATAGCATGACAGCAGGTGTCTGGGAAGAAGTAAATTAATGTTTTTGAAAAAGGAAAGCCCTATTTCTTATAATGACGTACAGTATGATGCCCTGGTACTGCTGAAAAAAATGTATGTTTTGCCATTTAAATGGTAGCACTGGTCGTAATGTTCAATTTGATCATCTTTTACTCCTGTGAGCTAGAGCAATGTAAAGGAACTGTGATTTTTATTTATTTGCTATTCCTGGCTGTGCTTTTTAGGCAGTGGTCCAGGGCACAATCCTTAAGGCTAGCAGACAGGAGCCGTTAAAAGCTTTACTGTGCTTCTAGCTGAGTGCTAGAGAATCTGACAGTAATTGGATTTTAGCCAGATTCTGTCGGTCCATTAAGTACATCCAAACGGGAATCTTTAGTTAACGCTGTACTGTTTTCCATGGCTACAAAATCTTTTTGTTTGTTTAAACGAGGATCAGCACACAACATTAAATGCTCAGAGATATGGAGTTCTTTAGAGAGGTAACACAGTTTTTCATAGCTGTCAGTGTTACTTGAACACAACATGCTTGATGTTTAGCAATGGCAAGTGGCCTGTCACGCATAATTCAGTTATCAAATTATTTTTCCCCACGGAGGGTTATGTTGCCAAAATACTTTAAACTGTGAATTCTGAGTGAATGCTTCATCTAATCCCATAATTCTGGGCTATGGCTTCTGTCATTGTTTGGCATTTGTTTTTGAAAATAATCTCATACCAACAATCTTCCTGTATGAGGTGTCTATAGTTTACCATTCAGGGTGTACGGGGGCATACTGTATACTGTCAAATAGCAGTTTGCCTGTTTGTAACTAATGTAGTTTCCTTCAATATCAGGAAAGTCAGCAGTGGCTGTCACCATTAAAACCAACATCATAACAGATTTGGATTATTGATATAACGGTGACAAAATGTAGACAATAAGCAGAAAGTATGAGGGAAAACAAATGAAGACAACTTTGAGTTAAAATAAGTGAATAAGTAAAGAAATAAATGTCCAGTGCAAGTGAAAAACAAATGTGCACAGCATCCCAAAAGTAAACTCCAAAACTCACTTTGTGCATCTACATTCTGTTGGGGGAGAACAGAGTTAAATAGTGAGCATCAAAAGAAGCTTATCAGTCACTTTTTGCTTGTATGTTGCAAGAGAAGTATACAGGATTGAATAAATGTTTCAGTCATCATTTTGATTAAGTGATAATTCATGACTGGCTGTGACAGACCTGAGTGACTTTGATTGTAGCATGAGCACCTAAACACCTCATTAGTGAGAGAGTTGATTGCGCATAGTGATGAAGTGATTTCGCTTGTTGAGTGTCAAGCCTGATGAAAATCAAGAAAGTAATTGGAGAGAACAGCTCTTTAGAGCCCTTGGTGTGTTGGAGACCGGACAAAGGCATTGCACTGTCACTCAGCATGTGGGGCAGGGGTCCCCAGTGCTGGTCCTGGTGACCCCCACACCCGCTGTTTCTCGTTCCAGCCCACTGTCACCAGATCTTTGAAAGTTTACCTGATCTAAGAAATTGTATATTTGCATTTTGTTTCTATTCGCAAGTTTGGCATTTTATGCCACTTACTGTACAAACTACAGCGGTTTCAATGTAAGAAACAGTTCAGAGATTAATCTTATTTTTATTAAGTCAATGAAGGGTTTGACTGTGTAACTTAAGGCTCAGCTGGTATGAACACCAACAGGTGCATGTGTCACCAGGCCCAGGATTGGGAACCACTGATGCAGGGTGCTCTCGGACAGTTATTTCGAACATGGTCTGTGAACGACCATCCGCTGTCCAAGAGAACACCTTGCTGTGATCAGTGGGGAGGTCAAACATGATGATCTGTGCAGGAGTACTTAGTTGCTACAGAACGTCACTTGTAGAGACTGGGGGCCACATGATCACACCGCGCTCCATCAGTCAAGTCCTGGGATCTCTGCTCTTCCTGTGGGCACATCCTGGTGGGATGATGTCCCAGGAGGAAACAAATATCCTCCTGCTGCTCATGTAGCAGCTGCTTGCCTTGAGGCGCAGCACTCAAGGCCTCAAAGACCAGTGTCCAGGCTCTCCGAGAGGCAGGGGTCTTCAACCCACAAGATAGCATCCACAGCCTATTGCAAAAGCTTGTGTCATAGATGTCCTGGATGTATTGTTCACAGCAGTGGCTTACATGTTAACCAGCATCATGAATTTTCTGTCTGTGTCATGTCTGTTCAACAAAGTGTCATTTCACTGGCTCTAACAAGTTGATCGTTTTCTTTGTCATACCTGGGAATGTGTTGCAGTTGGAAGTGCAAAATCTATTTTGATGCGCAGTGTTTTAACCTCAAGGATAATTACAGTGAATGGCTTTATAAGGTTAGTAATTAGACATCCAGTAGGCTTGTGTAAGGAAATCGTTAGCTTGTTTGAATTAGTGACAAAAGGGCAATAGAACCTTGTGAGGAATATCTCCACCTAAACTTTCAATTCAATTCAACTTTATTGTCATTAAACTTACACAGGTGCATAGTATAACGAAAAGTGTTTCTCATTAGTCACTCAGGTGCATTATATAAATAGGACAGAAGATAAGACACTAGACAGTTACACAATAGCAATTACAGTAACATGTAATAACATAACATAAATAACATGCATAACATTTATTGGTTGGTATTACAAGGTTAATAGTTGGTGTTAAATGACATAAAATATAGATATTAGGTAAAATAACATACATTCTTTTCAGCATAAAAAGTGATTTTCATTATGGTGCATGGTGTCAGACATTTTACAGATAGTGTTTATCATATTTTATTCTTCAGTTTTGATCTACCTTTCTTTATTTCTCAAGGACATCTGGCAGTACTTCTTGAATCTCACAGAAGCTAACGAAGAAAAGAAATCAGACTGGAAACTTGAATACATAATGACCAAAGCCTTTAACATAAAGGATATTATGCCAAAGAGTTTGTACAACCTTGCTGTTAATTTTGCGAAGCCTCATAGTAAGGAATTCCAGAAGTACTTTAATAACTTTTTGGTAAGCTACAATGATAAAATTGTTTGTGATGGGAGCTGTAAAATCACTCAGTTGTGTGCTATACAGTTCTTAGACCACAATAATTACTCTGCGTGTATCAAAAGGGAAAAAGAAAAAAAACTCTTGAGGAATATTTTTTAAACATACTGCAGTCAACTGTTTGTTTTTTTTTAAACAGCAAATTTGAGCATCATTTTATTTAACTGCCATTGATTAAAGGATAACTAAAGGATAATCAGTTCCAATCACCGTTGTAAGGGTGGAGGGCTCAGCTGTAACCTGTTTATATCTGGTGTGTTTCAGAAAGTATGTACCACGCTTGAATTTGCAATTGTACACCTCTGCCGAGGTTTGGGTTTTGACAGGATGTCGGTGATTTCAAACGTTTCTAAGTGCTCTGTGCCATTTTCTGGGAGGAGGCTCTAGCCCTGGTGAGCAGCACTTCTGAAGGTTTTTTATACATAACCTAAATCCTCCAGAGGCCTTGACCTGAAAACAATAAAGCAGAAAAAGAAGAGAAAATAATTTTCGTTACACTTTTATAACTGCTCAGTAATGGGAAGAATTTAGAAATGAAAATCAGGAAAGTTATGTGAGCTTCTGTCAAAAATGTATAGATTTAAATATAAAAGGTGTCAAAGTGCCTTTTTAATTGAACTTTGCTAAAATTCACTGACCTTTTTTTGGGGGGGGGGATGCTACTGGGTTGTGATTGCAGTGAACCTGTAAGATTTAGGGGCATGAAAGTATATATTTGGGTTTTATGTAAAAGCATTTGACTGCAACTCTCAATACAGTATAGTATACATTTTCATATACTGTAGTAAAGTTGATTAAGATATGCATTCTTGTATCATAATCTTCTTTCCATGCTCTCTGTGTTCTCGTACAGTACTGAAGAAAAAGGGGTTTCTGAGAAATAAGTGATTATGTGTTAATTAATATCCATATTTTCCCGTCTTGGCCAGAAGATTTGGGACATTATGTACAGTCAATGTTCTCCCTAGGAGAAAACATTCAAACATACATTTTAGTCTCTGCATACCTCAAATTAAGTTGATATACAATATTTCCATATTGAACACTTTTGTGTGCAGGAAAACTCAGGTTTAGCTCCATCTGTGTCATGAATAAAGGTGCTATTTTTTAACCTCCTCCTTTAAGATGTAGTGCATTCTTTCCAGCTTGAGCACTGACGTGCAGTTACTCTGCACAGTTTGGAGAATGTGTGTCTTTTTTTCTCAACAACAACAAGAAAAAAATAAAAGAAATACAAGATCAAATCGCATAAGAGGGGGAATCAAATATGTTAGTGTCATTGTATACAAATGACAAACCCATGAGAAATCACAACATTGTATGGTTTGATGTAGACTTGGAGAATGTACAGTCCAAAAGAAAAGGGTGAGAATTTCAGGATTGTAGGCTTTAAAGGAATGAGATGGAGTTTAGCAGAAGTACGGTGGGATAATGTGAATTAAGGAACAAGTAATAGGTTTATTCCATGCTGAAAAAAAGAAGAGAGAAAACACAACGTTTCGGCAGTGAAGCCTTCGGCCGAAACGTTGTTTTTCTCTCTTTTTTTCAGCATGGAATAAACCTATTACTTGTTCCTTTGCAGCCTATGCATGCTGACGCAGCTACCCACCTGAACTACTAATGTGAATTAGAAGAAAATGTATGACGGCATCCATCCCAAGTGTAAGTAAACCAAAGTCTAGAAGGTACTGTATTAGGTTAAAATGGTATTACACGTCAATTATGAAAAGAATATCAGAAGGAAAAAGCAATTAAGTAAGTGAGGAAAACAGTGGCAGTTAAAGGAATGATAGTACAATACATTGTGTGCTTGTAAAAAGGATATTAGGAAGTAGAAAATAATATTGCAGTAGAGACTAAAAAAAACATTTTTTTTTTCAGTATGGCTCAGCAAAAAGGACAGTACCAATGAAGTAAAGTGTCCCAAAGATAGAACTGGAAACATGGGAAATGTCTAATACATTAACAACATAATTTCACTTTTCTTCCAACGGGGAAAGACTAGACAACATTCCCGAGGAAAGACAAAATTTAAATTAAAATTAGACATGACAGGAACTAAAAGCGCTTGCAGAAAACATGTCTCCATGGCCTGATGGTCTTTTACCCATTGTACTTAAGCGATAGATACAGTGAAGTTTTCTGTTCAGTTCTGCAAGGTTTATCTATGACGTAACATCAAAAGACAGCATGTGACTGAATTCCAGACCCAGTGAAAGTATCACAAATTGCTCCCAGAAGACATTTGCATCTCACAGACTTAACTGAGGATTGTTAGGTACAGGGGATAGAAGGGACAATAATGTGAATATACTGTATGTACTGCTTTATAAATACATATATAAAAAATCATTGGAAATACAGTAGTCATAGTGGAAAAATAAATTCAATTACAATGTATTTATGTTACATGTATTTTACACACGTGAAGCTGGGACTATTTACATGTGTCTCAAAAGTTGCACTAAACCCTGAGCACTTCCTCCAGTGACATAGTGCAGGTGTGGACTTAAGATACGCGAGCATTCAAGGTTGTACCGTTATAAAAAGGGTCTTCATAAAGGGCTCATTGAAGGGCATTCATGAGCACCCCTGTGAAACACAAATTAGAAATGGGACACCCTAAACCCAAGCTGACTTACACCCATACGAAGGCCACAAGACTGCAAGTGTGGATACTGGGACACAACCTCATTAACAAGTTCTTGTAAGAGGGCAGTAGGTTCAGACAAGATGGAGATCCTTTTCTGAACCACATTCTCCAGAATGCTGTGGGGAACGAGCTGTTGTCCTCCATTCAACTGACCAACTGGGAGAAGACAGTTGGTCTGGTGATTATTTAAAAACCAGCAAGCTTGGACCTCCATGCTGGTCATTATCTGCTGTCCAGGCAGAAGTGAAAGGTGAGTGCTCGCATGCCCAGAAACAGAAGGAGAAGGAAGTGACCGACTGCCTGACCGACCGACGATGGGCTGTGCGACTGTGAAACTGGGAACTTGTGGATTTTGAGAAGTGTCAGCTTTTTTTTTTTTGTACTGAAGTCTCGAAGAGAAACTGAGTTCTGGAAAGTTTTGGGAAGAGCATTTTGAGAGAAACTCTGGGCTCGGAGAGAGACGCGTGTTTCACTGCCAGTAGGCAGTTTAGCTGCCCCGGCACTGATAGAGGGAGAGGGCAAAGATGTCAGTTAGAAGCTCAGAGAAAAGTTTTTTACTTTTGGCTTGTGTAAGTAAGTGTACTGTAGTGGTTTTGTTTATTTTTCTTGCACTATAAATAAAGAAGCACTGTTGTTGTACATTAGAACTGCATCTGTGTTTGATTTCCAGGGTCCTACCTGTTACAACACACCACCCCCGAGTGTGACTTTCTTCATTCTTTACTGGTATAACATGGCCAGCGTAGTAGTAGTAGTATTAATGGCAACCTTTTTATCCTAGAACATAAGAGTCGTGGTGTGATAGGGTTAGGTGGAAGAATCACCCTTTGGGATAGAAATCTGTCTTCTACAGACAATAATGACTCGATGACAAAATATTTTTTTTAATTCAATCTAGTTCAGTTACCAGTTAAGTTTGTTATTTTTTGGTATAAATGACCAAACCTGTGTACACTTGGACATACAGTAGTTCCAATTATATTATCAGCTGCTGGTTCCTAATTTTAATATGGTCTTTCCTGAATATAGCAGAGAACGTCGGAGAATAGGAATTTTTCCAAGCCTTTAAAGAGAACAATTGAACATTATTGTGTGAATCACAAAATGGCAGTCGCTGTCTTCAGCGTCCTTTTAAGCCTTTTTTCTTCATTTTTTTGCCTAAAACACTCATGTCAAGTCTAAGGCCCACTAGCCTGATTATGACTTGAGTTTAGTCAAGAAAGGATTTTTCTCCCAAGTGGCTTCGGTTTGCAATCCATCTTCCCAGAAGGGAATTTTGTTTCTCCCAGCATTTTTTTTATTTAAAGTGTGGGAGAGGTTAGCTCATGACCCTCATGACAAAAGAAAAGCACGAAAAAGTCAGCTCCCCTCTCCGCAGGAGTCGCCCCACTGAGGCCGGGAGAGCCATTAGCATCCAGGAAAGCCTGTCTGCATGCAGGCCGGCCGTTTCCTTGCATTACAGGAACGGTCCTTCGAGTCCCAGTTTTTCCTGTCATTAGTATTCAGTGACTGAGAGGACCTGGTGGCAGCACAATGGCTGTAGTTGGTAGGCTTCAGTGAGCTGAGTAAATGTTTGATGAGGAGACGAGGAATACCCAGGCAACTAGAGTGAAACATAGATCTAATCATCACTTTGTGCAGCCTTTATATCACCATTAATCACTGCTTTCCTGATCAAGATTGAAATCCTAATGAGGCCAGAACTGTTACAATCCAGGTGATTTAACTTTTGTTCCACGTATCCAGAATGCATAAATATCTGTTCTGTTTTTATTCCGTAAAAAAAAATTGTTTTGAGTTACCTCAGTGATGGCCCTGCATTTTCTGCTTGAAGATTTAAAGGAGCAACAGACAAGTTGATATAGTGTGGATGTTCGGTCCACAGTCACTGCGATTTCAGAGTGAAGTCTGAAATCTGCTGCTCAGCTGGCAAGACCCGGGTTCGAGCCAATGCAGTGACTCACGAACTAGGGTGAGAGCGGCGAGGGCACAAGCCCTAGAACCCGAGCCCATTACAATCACTGAAGGACAGACAATGAAATGTGGGCTATTTTGAAGTCGCAAATGTGAGATATAAAGGCTTAATTCTGAGATTTAAAGTCGGAATTCTGAGTTTCTAAGTCGCAATTCTGAGAAATAAAGTTGCAATTGCGAGATGTAAAGTCGGATTTCTGAGATTTAAAGTTGGAATTGCGAGATACCATAGCGTGTTTTTTTTTACTCCCTGGCGGAAACGGGCTTCCATTTTAAATGAGATCCATCTGTTACATGGAAATTAAAGTTTCAGCTTATTGTTATTTAGATTGAATTTGTGATACTGAAATAAATAATTGTCTATTTCACTGACTAAAATCACTGTTGTGTATTTTGAGCAATTGTGTACAGATTTTTGTAGATTGCTTAAATTTAAAAACATTCAGCTTACTGCATTGGGAGAAACAGGTTCTGAATTTTTATGTTGTTTATTTTAAATTATGGATATATCTAGAATGTTTTTTTTAAATTAAAATGTATGTTGAACCTGTATGTACTGTATGCACTGCACCTATTTAAATGATATTGTAGGTTAATTTTTCAATTATATCATGTTTAGACTCATTGGAAACCTTTTTCATACATGATCCTTTCTAACATATGAGGAGTGTCAACAGAAACCTTAATACCAACCACTCCAGCAGGTCAGGCCTCTGTTAATTACTGGAGCTCATTACAGCCAGACTGATCATCATTGGAGTCGCCAGTTAGCAGACAGTATTTATTTCTGATGGCTGCATTTATCCTACAAAAATTAATCTGTGGATTACTGTCAGGACTGTGTAAATCTACGAAATCTCTGAACATGGAAGTTTAGGATGGGCTAAGTGGCCTCTTGTTTGTGCCCTTTTGTTCTCAGGAGCAAAGTTTTTAATGTGAGTAAAGAATAGTGACTGCCAAAAAATTCTCCGTCCTCAGCATAGTTCTTCATTAAATGTGGCACTTTTTTTAGATTTGGTATGTCAAATATTCAGCCCTGTTAATATTAACAAATTTGTTATTAAATTTGAATACTATCAGCAACTCCTTGAGATATCATATAGATCAGTTTCCATCTGTACAGCATCATTCACACACGTGCTTGACCTAATCAGTGCTTAATTAGTATTAAAGCAAAAATTGAGAAACTAACAGATACATACTGTACGTACTAAATTAGAAAACTACAACAAAACAGTTTTAGATCAATAGATGATTTACAAAGTAGTTGAATAACTCATATATAAAAAAGAACTATGAGCAGCAGCAAAAACTAAAGAATACAAATCCAGACAAATTAGCCCAATTCAGAATATGAATTTGTTAAAATGTAGAATATAATCTAGATACAATTGAAAATGAAATAGCTAAACAAAGTACAGTAAAGCACATTCTGTCCAAAGAAAGATAAGATTATATGGTTCAGGGACACTGCAAAAAAACATATCCT